CCCCCCCCCCACCCCCCCCCGGCACACACTTGCTCTGTGCACGTACGGAGAGCGTGACCTTGCTCTCGTTACAGGCAACTTCTTCATCAATGAGAACATGGAGCTGAAAGTGGGCGACTTCGGCCTGGCCACCTGCCTGGATGCTGCCGACCAGAAGAAGTAAGAGCCTCTCTGTGCTGGGTGTTGGGGGCCATCTCCCCCCTGCCTGGGGAGGGGTCTTGCCTGCAGCCTCCTGGCAGGGGAGGAGAGCGTGGAGATGGTGCCTCCGCGTCCCGTCCCCTCCCCGGGCAGCTGTGCGGGCTGGCCAGGCAAGCTGGTGGCTGGGGCCTGGACTCGCAGCCCGGCGGCAGAACAATGTGCCGACTGTGACCATTGTCCCGCCTGCCCCACACAAAGCAGCTCTGTCATGTGGCTTCTCCAGCAGGGAAGAGAGAAGCTAATGCCAGAAAGAGGGGGGCTGGATGACAGATGGTGCAGGGAAGGGGAGGGGGTGACACGGGGGTGGCGGGGTCCTGCGCCAGGCAGGGGATAGCAGCTGTGCTTGCAAAAGCCCTGGGGTTGGGGGCCTGCAGCCTCCACAGTGCAGGATTGCCGTCGCCTGGCTGGCTCGTACATTGCCCCTTACTACGTTGTCCCCCCCTCAGGACGATCTGCGGCACCCCCAACTACCTGGCCCCGGAGGTGCTGCTGCGGCAGGGCCACGGCCCCGCCTCGGACGTGTGGTCCCTGGGCTGCGTCATGTAAGTTGTCATCGCGGTCCCAGCCCCTGCCTGGTGATGCACGCCCGCGCCGGGAGGGAGGGGGCAGCCGGGGTCAACGGTGTCAACAGTGTCAACGGCCCCGGGGGCGGATGCAGCCGGTGTCAGTGGCTGTTTCAAAACAATGGAAAATATCAGCGGTGGCAGCCGCGGGGCTATTTATAGTGGGCTGATCGTGGGCTCCGGCGTGATTGCGAGCAGCCTCCTGCACCCTGCCAGCCGCACGCTTCCTGTCAAACTTTCCATCTTATGCGAGAGCCGGTGCTGAGCCTGCCTCGCGCAGCTCGGGCCAGGGGGAGGGCGGCTGGCGCTTCCCACGGGGGCCCGAGGGGCGTGGGGGGTCTGCGGCTCCCCCATGTGACTCCCCGCCCTGCTCCCAGGTACACGCTGCTGTGCGGCAGCCCCCCCTTCGAGACCTCGGACCTGAAGGAGACGTACCGCTGCATCAAGCAGGTGGAGTACGCCCTCCCGGCCTTCCTCTCGGCCCCCGCGCGCCAGCTCCTGGCCGGCATCTTGCGCCGCAGCCCCCCGGACCGCCCCACGCTGGAGGAGATCCTGGACCACGAGTTCTTCCGAGTAAGTAGGGCCCCGGATGGGCCTGTCCCACCCTCCTCCCCCAGGATGCACTTCCTGCCCAGCCGGACCGTGATGCCCGGGGCCTGTGGGTCACCAGCATCGGGCAGTGCCACGTGGCCTGCTCGGATTGCAGCAGCATCACCGCCTTTCACTTCCGGAGAGCCACGGCCCCTGTGGGCAAGGCAGGGTCAGGGGTGATTGCCGGATCCGTCCGGCCGCTGACCCCGGCCCCTGCTCCCCAGGCATACACACCGGACAAGCTCCCGCCCAGCAGCTGCGTGATGGCCCCGGAGCTGACTCCTCCCAACCCGGCCAGGAGCCTGCTCGCCAAAGTCACCAAGACGCTGTTTGGGAAGAAGAAACCCAGAGGTGAGCCCAGGGCGAGCTCCATGCCCAGCCGCAGCCCTTCCCGCCCCTGCCCTGGGCTGGGAGCCGCCCGCCGCGGTGTTGCAAACAGCCCTGCCTGGGAACTGGGAAGTGAAACCAGGGAGAAACTGCCCCGCCTGGGCCTGGAGGCTGGGCCGAGCTGGGGATGCAAGCCTGGACCTGGGGCGCTGCAGCTGGGGAGCAGACGATGCAGCCCTGCAGCTCTGGGAGGGCTCGGGGGGGGTCCAGGGCACCCTTGCTCACCGCCTCTCCCTCTCCGCAGCTAAGAAGGGCCCGGTGGAGGACAAAGACGACCTCTCCAAGCTGGTCGCCGGCTTTATGAAGACCTCGCTCTGCCGACAGACCAGCTACAAGACTATGGAGGGGAACGAGGTGCGGGGGGACATGGCCCCGGGATGGTGGTGGGCTTTGAGAGAGACCCCAGCCTCATTCGTGGGCTGTTGGCTGGAGCTGAGCCCTGGTCTCTCCCTAGGTTTCCCCCGTGTCGGGCCAGACAGCCTCCCTCAGCCCGGGTGAGACGCTGGCCGAGGAGGGCTCCCGCAAGTCCGTGTCCCGCTCGGCCGGAGGCACGATGGCCAGCAGCTGTGAAGGTGGGTGATGAGCTGTGTCCGGAGCCCCCTGCTCGTGGCCTGTCGAGCCCCTTGTGCTCTGGGTAGGGGCTGTGGACCCCCGGGAGTGGGCGCACAGTAGTGCTGGGGGTGTCCGTGCTGGAGATGGATTCCCTGCCGAGAGCTGCCGGCCAGTGCAAGCAGCTCAGCCGGGCATGGAGGGCTACAGGCCAGCACCCCTCACCTCCTACTGGGGACCCCGGCCTGGGCAGAGCCCCTGTGCCCTGCGGCATCTCGGTGCCTGTGCCGTGGCCTCGGGGTGCAAAACTCCTGCCTGGCTTTATCTCACCTTACCCATGCATCCCTGCAGCCCTCAACGAGTGCGTCCCGGCCTCGGTGCTCATCGAGTCGACCGTAAGGCTCCTGACCAGCTGCCTCTCCTCCATGCCTCCAGGTACGGGCAGCGCTGGGCTAGGGCGGGGGGTGGCGTGGCCGGGAATGGGTTTTAGTCTGTGCCAGGTGCCACCAGGACAAAGACTAGGCTGGGTCTCCCTTGCCTCCGCTGTGCCCGGCTCTGCGGGTCCCCGCTCACCCCTTCCTCTCCTCCCTGCAGCCGAGAGGAACCCGGCGTCCCTGGCCCAGCACGAGCCCTTCGTGTGGGTGAGCAAGTGGGTGGACTATTCCAACAAGTACGGCTTCGGCTACCAGCTCTCGGACCGCGCCGTCGGCGTCCTCTTCAACGACGGCACCCACATGGCCCTCTCAGCCAACCGCCGGTGAGAGCAGGGCTCTGGGCCCAGTCCTGGGGGCTGGCAGGACCCCCTGCCCTGTCTTTGGGGTGTGCAGGAGGTCTCCGGGAGCCCCTGGACATGCCCTCACCCCTTGTGCTCCCTGCAGCATGGTGCATTACCACCTGACCGGCAGCAAGCATGTGGCCTTCCGCACTACGTCCGTGCCCCCCGCGCTGCAGGGGCAGCTGGGCATCCTGCGGTACTTCACCTCCTACATGGAGCAGCGTCTCATGAGGGTGAGTGCTGCATCATTTGGGGGGGGGG